GGCGGCCTGAGGAGATGCACTGGCTGCCCAAAACAATGTTGTAGCGGTAAAATCGCTCAGGATTGTCTGGCAGTTTCTGCTTGGTGTCTCCATAGCGCACACATTTTCTGTCCTCAGACACGATGAGGCGGGAATAAGCAGTGTCTGGATCCAGGCGCACGTCAGCTAGGAAACAAAATCCGGGATGGTAACACTGATACAGAGCCTGATCTGATACAGTGGTACACCGTATACAGATACACTGATACAGCGGCCATGGGTGAGCTCTCCCTGATAAATACAGCCACAGATTTCTCAGTGATGGGGTGGGGGATGGATGGGAAATCCATAAGGCACTGGACTATTTTATTTCTCTGGAAGGGTCCCTCCCAGTGCCCATCACAATCTCCCCCAGCATTCATTACCTGCATATGTCTTCAGGACCTCTCTTAGCCCCAGCACACGGCAATCCGTCTTCAGTTCCAAGGAGACTGGTTCTGGCCGCTGCAGGCTCCAAGACTTGCTCCTAGTAGAGGAGGGGTAAGCCTTGGGGCCAGAAATCCTGGCTCTGCCACACAGGATTTCCCTTATGGCAAGGAAGAGGGGTTTGGCCAGGGACATCGTAAGTCGGGTGACCCCGCCCAGCAACACCAGGCCAAGGAGAGAGGTGATGAGTGTTTGACAGAGCCCAAATGGTTTGTGGCACAGAGAGGAGAGCACTCGCATTCCTGTGCTGTGGGAAGGGTTAGACGTGCACTTGACATCAGGAGCGGAAGAGGAGTGCCAAAGAGGAGAAAGGCTGATACTCAGAGCTCAGAACATAATGGAGACATCTGCAGTCTTTTTCCCTCCTTGGGAGATCTACTTGAAACTGTGAATTTTATAATTTACTTGAAATTCTTATTGGTAATATGTGAAATGAATTTGAGCAAGTACAAAGAAGAAAAAAAGAAAGATGAACAAAGCTTCTTCAGCCAATACAGCGAAAGTGGGGGAAGATTATGGACCAGCATCTGCTTTTCAGCAGGTACTGGCACATATTCCTTCCTCTTCTGGGTCTGGCCAGGACCGATTTTGCCTTATGGGGCTCTCAAGGGCTGCAAGGATGGGAACATACCTGTTTAAGACTTCCTGAATACCCTGGAAGGAGAAAAAATAAGCAGCACCTGAGTATGCGCTATTTCTTGCAGGGACCGGACAGACACCGAGCTCTGGGAGGGGGTTTCCTTAAGGGAAAGGGCTGCAGAGAGCAAGGCTGGAGAGAAGGCATGCAAGGGTAGAGGGGAGAAGCCTACAGGAGGGGAGCATGGCAGGCCAAGCTCTGGTTGGACTGTCCAATTTCAGGCTTCATCTCAAGACTCTCAGGCCAGAAGGTGGGTGACGCCCCATCTAGGAGGCTACAACTACAAGGGGCCGGGTCACCCACCCACCTAAGGATAGAACAGAAGGCATTAGCAAGGAAGGGTAAGGGATCTACATGTGTCTCACAGGCCCCACTGAAGACCAGGGAATCCTCTCTCCTGGAGTCCCAGGCTATCTTCAGCTCTCACTCAAGGTTCCCAGGGAAACCTGCTACTCACCTGCAGCATCCAGCGGACAGGCCTCTGAGACCTCTCTTCCAGCTCCGCAATCATCCTCCACAGGACCCGGCTCTGCTGCAGGAGCTCATTGTGATTCATCTCCAGTTTCCGCATGGTCTCC